TTGCTAAAGTATTAACAGAAGTTTGCCATGGTGGGGTCAGACTGGCAGTAATTTTATATACAGACACACACACACACACACACACACACACACACACACGCGCCAGCAACTTCCGAATCTTCAATAATATGAACATATCTTTCTTTACAACAGGGATACAAACTCACATGGTTACAATAGGTAATGCACAGTAGTCCAACAGTATTGCTACAGTAGCAAAGGGCCTACTGTATGTGCACAGTCACCTACTGTGACAGGGCTGGCATTCTGAAACCAGGAATGCAGTTCCAGGGTTGTCAGATCATGAGAAACCAAGAACCTGAATATTTATGTGGAAATTTCCATATTTTTCAATGGTGGCTCAATTTTTTTTAAAACCTGTATAGGACAAACAACATATGTCTAAAAATTTTGTGGCATTCAGTTTTTTTTTTTTTTCCTTTTTGTCTTTTTTCATGACCGGCAACGGATTGCAACCCTCAGTGTCGCGCCCGTACCGGACCGGGACCGGCAACGGGATTGCAACCCTCGGTGTTGCTCCCGCACCTCGCTCAGCCAGTGAGCGGCCGGTCTGTGTGTGGGATCTGAACCCTCGGCGGGAGCACCGCCGCGCTTTCCAAGCGGCGCACTGTAGCAGTGCACCACCGGGCCAGCCCCGGCATTCAGTTTTTAGTCTGGATTTACCATAATATAAAAATTAAAAAATAAAGAGCTCTTACTAATACCAGCAACGTGGCAAGCAAATTACTAGTTCTAAGTAACACAGACAAAAATTCCATGTAGGCCTTAAAAATTTCAGTTTAAAATCTGTATTCTTTGGACAAATATAAACTCAATAATCATTACACATAGTCCCTCTACTTGAGTTTTTTTTTCCCCACTTTGGTGAAGTTCCATACAATACTTTCTATGTTATCAGAGTATGTAATGATGCTCAAAACACATGCCTAAAACAGAATTTAAAGTACCTACAGAGCCATATACATCATTATAAAGAGTACAACATGTACGATGGCCAAAACTATCTAAAATTGAAGTTTTCCAAAAATCTAAGAGTGTTTCTGAGCATAGGAACTAAATCTGCTTTGTAACAAATCCACTGAGTTCCTCTGGCAAGTTATCTTTCTTAAGAATGATACAAAAAGAAAAGAAGGATATAGAAGTAAAACAGTACTAAAAATTGCAAATTGCAAGTATTTCAACTATATGCAACATTCAACTTTTTACTGGGACTACAAATAAAAACAGTTTATGTAGGATCATGGACAAAAGCAACTATGTTAATTTCCCTATTCTGGTGATGTGGTGGTGCCTGTCCAGCCCACCACAACCTCCTACAAAGTAGAGAGGGTCATGCTTACTACTTGGATCTTGCTCCTCTCTTTTGGCCATAGTTAATGGGTCATGTGCCTACCCTGGGCCAAAGGGCAGTCAACTCACAGAAGAACCCCTGGGCTGAATGAAGAGTTAAACTGGCCAGATCACTGTCTTCCCCAAGATATTTGTCCATTAGCACATAGGTGAAGGTAGAAGGATACCATGAGGAAGAACCGGGGCTACGGGGAACCAAAGCTACATGAAAGCAAAAACTTGGCAAGCACAGAGGAAGTCAGTTGGTAGCAGGATATAAAAAGCAAACGCTGGGAAAGTAGCTTAGTCACATCCATAGGGGCACTTTACTGCCCTCCATCTCATAGCTACAAAAAGCCCAGCTTCAAATGCATTTCCCTCATTGCTTCACTGACACCCTTACACTCCCTGAGGTAGCTAGCGTGGATCTTTTACGTTTTTAACTGATCTCAACTCAAAGCTCAGGGTCTGTGTTCTTTGAAACCAACTGCCATTTCATAAGCAGGAAGCTCCACTTGCCTTTAACTCCTGAAAAACCAGTCAGACTAGAGGAATGAGTTACAGAAGTGGTACTTGAAAAGTGTATACATTTGAAGCTAGTCTAACCTTCTATGTATTAGACGCAAGACACAGCTTTTCAAAATCAATACACAATAAGGGAAAAACTGAGAATAAGGAACTGCATGTAAGTAAATACGTTCTTGGCAGAAAATCATGCTGTTTATTTAGTTTTATTACTAATCCCCAAAAGAGTTAAGATGGTCACCAGGATTCAGAGGCAGTGCTCTGGCTAAATGAATGGCAGTCAATGAAGGCAAGAGCAATGGGCATTTCTTTTACTTAGTTATTTCTAAATAGCCAAATACTTCCCTGTGGAAATACTGAGTCTTATGACATCTATAAAACTTTGATTTAATATTATGAATTCTTCTGCAAGATATTTAACAATGTGAGTTACGAAAACATTAGGAAGAGGTTAAAACTGGCGATTCTTCATAGCAGTGTACTTCAGCTCTAAGATCCTAAGAAGTATCACTTAAAATTTAAAAAAGATGACTTAGTTTCTTGAGAGAACTCAAAAGGATATCTGCCATTTTATAGTTTTGAAAGCATCGTGCGATGCTGACGAGAGTTGTAGAGTTCTATTCTATGTCCAGTGCAAACTTTATTAGGGGAAAATAAAAAGATGTGCTGATGATTGCAATTTGAGAATGTCTTAAAGCAGTAATTCTTAAATTTTTATTTCACACAACTGTATCTAAAGAGGCACAAATACTGTTGACATAAACAGTGCTTGAAAAATGATAATTCAACTAAAATGAACGTTCTGCAATGTAAGACAGTTTAAAATACAACACTAGGATTTCCAAAATGCTCTTTCTTGTTATTTTGATGAGTGGGGGGGAAACACAAAAACTTGTTTGCTAGCTTTGAAATTAAAAATTCACAAGAAGGTAGAAAAGAATATTCTAATATGAAAGCACAGGTATTTTGCAGAATTTATCATCTCCATTCACTTTAATAAAAGATTGAGTGGGCAGTCTCTTACTTCAACACGCGCCATAATCTTCCGTTTAAATTTTGTTTGCCTATCTTCCTCTATCCTTTTGCTTCCTAGGGAGCACATGAAGTTTCTGGACCACCTGTGGATTAAGAAAACCCTCGTCTAGGTCACTAGGCAACTCACACACTCAACTAAGAAACCCGTGTCCTCTGGGAAAATATTTCTCTCTGTTCTTTCCCCAGCAATAAATTGAGATTATCTTGGTCCTGGATCCCTTTGCTGCAAAATTTCAAAGATAATGGCTTGCACTGTGAGTTCTAAGGATACACTGTATTGATACTTTGGTATCTAATGATAACATTACTCCCGTTACTCTGATGTGTTTCAAGTATATTATTTCCTGCATGAAATTCAGTCCAGCATTGCTAGCTGACGAGCAACACATAATGAAGTCTTTATAGACCAAAAGAACTAAGTATAGTTTCAGCTAAAAGATACTATGTGGATATGCACATGGGTCCTTCAAAACAGAAGTTACAGTGATTCCAAAACTCATGACCGGACTCTGGAGTATTTCACATGGTTTCCTAAACATGACCTTCCGAGAAATGGCTCATCTTTATTCTAAATAAATCACTACGCAAAGACAAGAGGCAGCTGGGCCTCGAGGGACCTGGCACTGGTCTTGAATGGAGAAGAAAGCCTCCTTCCCAAGGGCGGGCGCGACCCCGGCCAGCATCCCCGGGGCTCGGGCAACGCCGGCCCCCGTGCAGTGACCTGGCCTGCCGCCACCCCCTCGCTTCGCTGGCCCTCACCTTCCACACCTCCCCGCGAGAACCGACTCCGTAGCTTCCTCCGAGAGCTCTGGCCGCCGGTGCCTCGCTGGGCGAAGATTAGAAGGGCGCCCCGCAAGAAGCAAGGGGAAGCTGCTCCGACGCGGAGAGCAGAACTCAACCGGCAGCCGGCGCCGCGCCGAGCTCGCCCCCGCGCGGGCCTAAAGCGCGGACCCGCGAGAGGGGCGCGCGCCCACCGCCTCCTCTTCCGGCCCGGCCCACTCCCCCGCGGCCCGGTACCGCACTGACCGAGGACGCAGCGAGGACTCCCTGTTACCTGCGGGAGGCTGTCGGGGAGGAGCAGAGTGTCTTGACTCTGGGCCCCTTTTCTGCCCCCTTTTGACATCAGCCACCCTCGCCTCCCCCGTGAGGTTATGGCCAGTGCACCCACAACTTCTGGGGTCGGCTCTGTCCTGCACCATAGAGACGGGTCCGGAAACGGGACAGAATGCCTACCTTCGCCCCTCCGAGGCCACCACAGAGGCGAACGAACCCGGAACCGAGCTAGAGAGGCCGCACGGGTGATTCTCAGGCAGGTGCCACCTTCAGTGTGGGCGCTAGTGACCACCTCGCACTTAATTCACAGCTCCCAGCAGCCTAGTTAGTCAGCAAAGATGTCTTCTCTGTGGCCCTTTTAGTTGAAAGCGCAAGATGTTCTTAACTTTCAATTTTTGGCTTTTAACAGCACAGTCTTAATTTCACTTCCGCCCAAATCCAAAATGGCCACTAGTCACTTCTAACAAATAGTAAAGAGGTTGGGGGAGAAAGGGATGATGGAAATTAGCGAGGAGTGACGTAGATCGTCCTTGCACCTCTGATTGGTTGCGCTCTAACTACGGCTAGGGGCTGGAGCTGACTGAGGTCTTGGTGATTCCAGCTTTTAAGTCTTCGGGAGGGAGGTCCCAAATCACGGTTTATTTAGCAAAAAGTGAAATTGAGAATGTTAATGTTAATACAGTGGCCCTCCCTTTATCTGCCGTTTTACTTTCTACGGTTTCAGTTACGTGCGGTCAATGGTTGAAAATATTACGTGGAAAATTCCAGAAATAATTCTGAAGTTTTAAGTTGAACGGCGTTCAGGGCTGTCTAGGTTTAACCCGCCCGGGGACAAGAATCACCCCTTTGTCCAACGCGTCCATGCTTCATACGCTGCCCGCCCATTAGTCATTTAGTAGCTATCTGGGTTATCAGATCAACTGTCCTTATTGGAGTGCTTGTGTTTAAGACATCCTTACGTTACCTAATAATGTCCCCAAAGCGTAGGAGTAGTAGCTTTTTCGGTATGCCAAAGAAACGTTGTGAAGTGCTTCCTTTAAATGAAAAAGTGAAAGCTCTCAATGAGGGAAGAAAAAAAATCATATGCTGAGATTGCTAAGATCTATGGTAAGAACGAATCTTCCATCCATGAAATTGTGAAGAAGGAAAAAGAAATTTGTGCTAGTTTTGCTGTTGCACTTCAAATTGCAAAAGTTACAACCACAGTGTGTGATAAGTGCTTAGTTAAGTACTATAATAGTACCTATTACTAATGATAAAGGTACCTACTTAATAGGGTATTACGAGTATTGAAAAGAAAAACCCGGCCCGAATGCAGAATGAGAAACACACCAGGAGACAAAGGCTTAACCACCATGTATTAAGCTGGCAAAATGGACAGGCGGGCTGCTCTCTGGAAAGTGGGAGCAGCAGCAGGGAGAGTTGGGGTGGGCCCTTTATATCCCGTTAAGCTGAGCTGGACTGTTCTTATTGGCTAGGGAGGGAGGAGAGGGCAGTGAGCGAGGTTTACGCTGAGTTGGGATTTTTCTATAGATGAAGAAATTCGCACACGTGGGAAGGGGATGTGGCGGTGAGGAAGAAGGGGGAGGAGGGTCTTTGTTCTTGGAAAATGTGCTGTTCTAGGGGCCTTGAAACTTTTCTGCAGCCATTTTGGCCGTTCTGCTGCCATCTTACACTGTCCTCGGGGAGAACATGATTGCCTAACAAGTATAAAGTGAATATACATAATGATTTTAAAACCAGATGGCACAAAATAAATACTCAGTGTAGTATTTTCAGTATTATTGTCTTCATGATCGATAGTAGTAGTCATCACTACTGCTTAGTGCTTCTACAACTTCATAGTTGTATCTAAATTCTTTGGTCGTATACAACTTTTAGGTCCTTTCTGGCCAGTAACAGTAGCCACAAAGGTTTAAAATGGATAAGGACTCACCAGGTTAAATGAAAACAAACATTAGATCAAATTTTGCCCCTTATTCAGGAACGTATCAAACGAATATTAGGAGACAGGTACAGTTAGTTTATTCCATCCTATAAGCTTGATGAAGTCCCAGCTCTCTTTATAGGTCAGCACTGTCCTATAGAAATAGAAACCGAGCCACGTATGTAATTTTAAGTTTTCTAGTAGCCACATTAAAAACAGTAAAAAGAATGAGGTGAAGTTAGTTTTAGTATTTTATTTTAACTCAATAGATCCAAAAGATTGCTATTTAAACATGCATTCGATATAAAAATTATTAATGAGATATTTTACATGGGGTAGTTTTTTGTAGTGTCTTTAAAATCTGATGTGTATATTTTATAATTTGGACTAGCCACATTTTCATGCTCCTTAGTCACATGTGGCTAGGAACTACTGTGTGGAAGAGTGCAGTTCTAGGAAGTCTGACCACCATCTTGCACTACAGTTGAGAAACAGAAGTACAGTGCTGAATTCTTTTACCATCATAGATAGCATCAGCATCTGGAATCCAGATATCCTCCAGACTAAAGGTAAAGCCAGTACCATTAGGGATAAAACGCCAGATGACATTTCCAAAGGCTGAGGACTTCTTTAATTTTTATACCTGTTTTATTCGAAAATGGAGAGCAGTCTCCAAAATATTTTAGCCAGTTCACCTATCTTGAATTCTTTTGAGAGCTCATCATTAATATTCATCATGATAATTAATATGCTATTATTTTGGCAGTAAAAACCCATTTCTGACACTCACCATGATAATTACCAAAACATTTAGTGCCATCAGAGATCAAGGTGGCTAAAATATTTGTGACTCCATATCTGTAACGTGGCCTTTCTGCTGTGATGCTAGCTGACCACCCTAGAGAGGGGATTCCTGATAACTAGAAGGTGAGCTGCTCCCAGAACAGAGCTTTAATCAATTAAACCATACAGAATATTAGGCTGTCTATGCAAAAGTAACTGAAAGTCAGCCATACATGTTATGACACCCATGTTGTTGTTGTAAGGAATATTGGCCTGCATTGTAAACTGTATGTAAACACTATGCAAATGTTATAGAACTTACAACCTATGTTACAAACTATTTTTATTCCAACATATTTAACACACACCTCTTCTGTGTCAGTCATTGTGCTGCTCACTAAGAAAAGAAGAAAGATGGAGACACAGTCATTGCAGAAAAGTGGCTTTTTTGAGGGGCCCAGATATGGCCTTTTTATTTAAGCACTTGGAGATACAAAGTAGCTTAGTGCTAGGAATTTTATTTTAGTTTTGCAAAGTGCCCTGCCCCACTGCCAACAAAGAAGTTTCAAGCTAGTTGTGTGAGGCTGGATGTGAGCTAAATGTCTACATGTCCCTGGTTCTTCTGAGGACTCTCTGACATTGGCTCCTTGTTGGTTTATTTAGTCAGCACATACTTTCCAAGTGCCCACTCCGTGCCAGCCTCTGCTATGGAGACTGGGGAGACATCAGCCCACCTTTGCCACTGGCCATCTGGAGTATCCTTGGGCAAATTCACTTTGCTCAGCCTCCACATTCTGAACTATGAAGTGACAACGCTTGTACCCACCTCATGGGTTTTGTGAGGGATGAGATAAAGCATGTGAAGGACCACCACGTCCCATAAATATCAGATGCTGTTCCTGCTGTTCTGTGACCAGTCTGGACACCAGAGGGCCTGGCTTCTGTCCCCAGGGCTCTCATTCCTCCCACTCTTGCTCCTTGCCCTTTCTTCCAAATCAGAGGTGCAAAGTCCCAACCCTAGGTGAAGCCATCGTTAACAGTGAGGATAGTCACAACGCGCACGTGGGCACCACTGCAGATCTGTGTCATCAGCCTCAGCTGGGCCTCCCACTCAGCCAGGAAATCTCTCCTGTGGTCCTTAGTCCGCATTGTTTCTCATTTAGCTCACTGTATGTCATCATCTGACCTCCCATCCCATTATTTCTTATAAACTTTCAGCTGATGATATTTTCCTGTTTTTGTGAGGGAAACAAGCTCCTGTAGACAACAGCATCCTACCTTTCTCTTCCTTTCTCCACAAAAATATATCAGCATTTGTTTACACCAATGGCACAATTGTAGTGAATTCTCATAGTTTCACGTTGCCTCAACATCCATGTGGAGTATAAACTCCACTTTCTCCTACCAGAAGCAGGACTGTCACTCTCAACAATTGCCAGTTCTCCATCTCCTCCCAGTTCCTTAGTGTGGCCAATTCAGATATCTGCCTTATACAACTGTCTCCTGGTGACCACCTCTCCATACGACAGCTAGACACAACCTACGTGGCTCACCCCAATGACCGCCACACACCACATAGACTGCACAGGTGTGCCTCAGTGACCACCTCTCAGTCCCAGTGTGACTCCAGTGAACTTGTGCTGGCTTGCTATAAACCCGCCAATGGGAACTCCTCAAGGGAAACCTGGTTGGGTAATGCCCTGGACCTCAGTAAACGCTTCGGCTCACAGGTCCCTCTCTCTCCCTCCCCACCCACTGGTTGAGAGTGCGTGTCCCAGATGCCTTTCCCCCTCCTGTTGGACCTGGGGGGCATGCCGCCCTCTTCACTTCGATCTGTAAGTAATAAAACTGCTTCTGTTATTTCATGTGTTTTATCGTACTGCCTCCTCTGTGTCTCACCTAACTGTCACATCTGAACCTAACTTCTTTCCTCTCAGAGAGCTTCGTGGAGAGTGGCTGTCTTGGTAGGAATAAACTGGACACAGGTCAGACAGGAGCCACAAAGTTGTCTGCCAGTATAAACAAGTTTTCTGTGAGAGGGACACCTGGTCACGGGTTGGACACTTGGTCATTAGGCTATCCACTAGGATAAAGAAGT